TTTTAAAAAGAAAAAAAAAAAAAAAAAAAAAAAAAAAAAAAAAAATAGAAAAGAAACACACATTGCACTTACGCCTGACTGAGTCCATAGACAAACTTCGGAGACCCTTCTGCCCATCCAGATCGTAGACCTGGACCTGCGAGTTTAGACCATGTGCCGTTGCTCATCACATTACCGAAACCATCTGCACCATCACGCATGGCACCTCCATCGAGCTCTGCATCTACATCGACTACACGAGCGAGGTGCGCGGTTTGTAGCGAGGAGTCCGGCTGCTCGCGTCCTGACGCAATACATGATGAGCCCTCGATCGGCCATTGCAAGAAATCGTAGACATCGTCACAGCTGATCAAGGCATCGAACTCCCTCGCGAGCTGAACCAGCTGGCAGCGCCGCCTCAGAGACATGGTTCTCGAAGATGGATTGGAAAACGATGGCACACAGTATATGACATGCTTATACACCTTTGCTCTCTCCCGCCCCCCAGGCTTGAATCGAGGCGCCCTGTTGCCTTCATCTTGCGCCTGTCGCTCGCTCTTGTCCATCTCATTTCGGAGATATTCCATGTCGATTCCCTCTTCATCCTCCGGTACCGCTCGCATCTTCGCGCCAAAGCCCGCATCCTCGAAGATACGGAATACGAGCATATACGCGGGTGTCACAATCCATACGTTGCGAGTGTACTCCGGATCCGTGTACACACCGAGAGCGACGGAGAGGTTCTGCGAGGCAGCCCCCGTAATGCATATGCGCTCGGCATTGATCGGTTGCGACGGTCGGTGGTGGCGAAAGGTTGTTACCGCAGTCAACCATGCTGCAATGGCCTCTCGCGCTCGCCGATCGCCTTCGTCGGGCCCATATAAGAGTGCTGGCAGCGCAGTAGACGGGTCAGAGAGCACATCCTGTGCAGCCTGACGTATAGGATCCGTAGGGAGCAGACTTGGGTGCGGCCACCCTCGGAGCAGGTTAATGGGTCCCTGTGCCGCCTTCATGCTTATTACTTGTCGTCGTCGTCGTTGTTGATGTTGTTGTTGTCAATTGTCGAGAATGTTTGCAGGTCGATATGGAACCAAATCCGGAATCCGGCAGGCTAGCCCTACAGCTTAAACAGCCAAGGCCGCTCCTACCCGGTAAACCGCAAGCTTCCGGCTTTGATACTATTCTGCTTGGTGAACCTAGCATACAAGCGCTCTAAGTTCTTGTATAAAATATGCTCTTTTACCCGTTTTCTATCTCTATCTCTCAATTCCTATACTAAGTTTAGTCTTATCTTATCTTAGTCTTTGCTTCTTGCTCTGTGGTCTATTTAAAGGGTAGGAGCTATTTTGTTTTATACTCTAGACTTAGTCCAGATATTGCTAAGTAATGCTAGGAACTCCTATATTTCAAGCTTTTTTCGAGTTGGATACTAAAAAATCTAGGGTTAATTGAGGCTTTTTATAGAAATCACCTAATCTGTAACCTCTAGAGACCTCGATATTTTTGAGGCGAAGCTAACAGAAAAAACAATGACTAATAGATCCTTCGAGAAGTTATATCGGAGTAAACCACTCTTCCTAGAGTTATAGAGTGGTAAGTTAATATTTTAAAGAGCTTATAGTATATATATTATAACCGTGCTGCGTTCTACTCCTACGGGGTACGGTGCTAGAAATATTTTACTAGTGGCTAGTACTAGCTAGAAGCCTACGACTAGTAACAGATATCTTCTATCTGCAAAATTCTAGGAAGCTTTAGAATCTAGAAATCTTTCTCTCTAGAGTATTTCAAGAACTCTAGAATACAGAATATGCTATATCTAATATCAAAGTCTACTCTACAGCCCTAAAGCAGATAATGCCCTATAATCTATATCTCTAGATAAGCCTTTTCTATTCCTAGAGTTTGAAACATTCTCTTAGTAACAAGGAAACATTTGAGCGCCTAGTTGTATTACGCAGGCTACCGCGTAGGCGGTATTGACTAGCGTGACGCAAATTACTTTTGTTGATAGTCCGCACTTTCTTACTAAGAGTCTTTAAGAGTGTTCTTAATGCCGCTTAGTTTACACTAAGCTCTAGACATCTACCTTACAATAACCCCTCTTTTCGAGTATATAAGAAGTTAATATTACTAAAGAGCTAGTCGTCCTAGTCCGAGAAAGAGCTTAGAGTTAGACTATAGATAATAAAGGAATATAATTCCTTTTTAGGAAACTCTAGAAGATGAAACAACTGTTAGTTTCCATCCTAAAATATCTCTAGCTTAAATATATTTAAGAAACAAGCTACTAAATAATCTAGAAATTGAATAGTAAATCAAGAGTTGATATAGTAGAAGTAACCTAGCTTAAGGCATCCTATATATAGCTCTCTATAGACCTTTACCTACGATAAACTAGGTCTTCCCTAGACTGATCTATAGTTATATTATGTACGCCTACGTCTGTTTTTGGTAGGGTAACATATAACTATACCTCAATTAGTATAATTTACCTAATGATAGGAATTGTTAGGATTTATACCGGACCGAGACAGGTAAATGTTAAAGAGACCTAGCGGGAACGGGCTACTATAACTGAAAAGGGTTTAGGACTAATAAAGAAGGGCAGATCAAGTTACAGATCCCGATTTTCTATTAATATATTCTAAATTAGACCTAAAGGGTCTAAACTACCTAGGAACTAGGCCAGTAGTATACTTATAGATAGAGGGAGAATATATACTTATACTCTTCTCCTAAACAATGTGAGCAGTACTTTTCCAAAAGATATTTTATAAAGCCTATCTATCTTATCCTTTGAAATACGAATCGCTTCTTTAGTATATAACTAAGTATTATTAAAGGTAGTCCTAAAGAATATCACTCGTTCAGATCAACTGTCTAGAACTCGGAAGCTAAGGCTATAAACAAGACTTAGTAACTCCTCTAGCGTAGCCTAGCTAGAGAGAATTATACTAAAGCAGTCTAGAGACTCAAAGAATGCGAAGTAGTATAGTAACTCTCTAATAGATAGATTCGGGGCCGCTCCGGGCTATTCTACTATATCCTTAGCCTAATTAATCCCTAACCCACGAAATCTATATACATTCGAAGAGAATCTAATACAACTAGCTTAAGTACCGAGACAACTATATACTAACTTAGAGAAGAATAATGAGTAACTAAATAGAGATCCTGATAGAATAGGTTTATAGATTCCCTCCGCCTCTCACCGACCTATAATACCCTACTATAGTCGAACTTGAAGGAATATATATTTAATACAATACGTATGCTGTAGAAACGTTAACAAATTATATATAGTGTAATTCAATTAGTCAAGTAGAGCCTTCGTATACTAAGCGAACTCCTAATAGACTTTAAGAAATACTAAATAAAACGAGCTAGACTAAGATTATAGTTTCTTAGAGTACTCTAGATAGAAGGATTAAATATCGAATTAATATCAACCTCACTACCTCCGCGTTTCCGAAAGTCTAACAAATACCTATTAAAACAACTCTCTATATAGATTTATATACAGAATCAGAAGCTATCTTTAAATCTATTGCTATAGGAGAAGTATAAGAAAGATACTTGCCGAATAATATAGTTACTAAACTTTTGTATACTTAAAAAGCAAGGGTCAAACTAGTCTAAGTGTATATCTGCTCCTTTCAGTACTAATATATAATTCTTGCCTCTATATCCCCTAAAACTAATAGTGTCTTACTGTAGAGAATAAGCTTAACCTTCTCTACCTTAAGAGCTAATACCTATTTAATGTATCGCTTCCTATTCCTATAGTCATCTTGTTTAGGGCCCTCTTTCTATAGATTAGTCGGTTGTCTGCTAGATCTACCTAGCAATAAGCTTTACCCTTAAGTATACTATATACCTACTATAGTTTTAGGTCTTAGAGTAGATATCCAAGTAAGTTATTACAGACTGAATCTATAGTATAATTAGTAGCTGAGAGCTAGCTTTGCTACTTCTATTTATCCCTAATATCCTATCTAATTAAAGCTTCTTAAAGATAGGCTAGCCTCTAGCTCTAAGTAGGCTAAGCCGGCTAGAGGTTTAGAATACTATCTATAGCTAGAGGAATCGATAGCAGGGCTATAGGAAGACACTATTTCTATCTAGTTATAGACCGTACTCTAAGTTATAGGGTAATTACTGTACCCTTCGATCCCTTCTGCTATAAGTAACCCTATCCCCTAAAAACAACGCGTCTCCTTTGCTATCTCCCTTGCCTAGGCATCGGCTTACTATACCTACCTTCTAGGAGTTATCTTTCTAATACCCTAGAGATACTAACTAGATTACTCTCCTAACCCTTAAAGAAGAGCCAAGAATTAAGAGGGGCATACTTTAGGATATAGTATAAAGTAAAGCCTACCTTAGGTAAAGAGTAGGTATACTATATATACAGTAGTCTATAATTAAAGTTATCTTAGGACTTTAATTAAGGTTTAGCCTATTAAAATTCAGTTCCCTTAACTAAAGGAAACTCTTAGTAAACTAACTCTAAGGCCTCCTAACTTTAGCTTTAGTTTGACAACTTTGACTAGGATAATTAAGGTCTAAAAAATCTAAATAAGAGGTAGGAAGGAGAGAACTAAAAAGTACGAGAGAGAGGAAAAAAGAAGGCTAAAAAGGGGTTTTAAGAACGGCGGGAGCTTAAATTATAAACGGCGGGAGGCCTGCGCCAAGCTTTAGGCCTTAGGCTACGCTAAGCCTAGGGAAGTTATATAACCTACTGCAACATCACTTCTATACCGCATATTCTAATATACCTATATATATATATACATATAAGTCTATTAACGTCGAACTATTTAATAAGACGCTCGTACGTACTATACTTATAGACGTAGAGCTAGAGGATTCTATTAACAGACTCCTCGACAATAAAGACGTAGCTATAGAGGTAAAGATTAACCTAGTAGCGACTAACGCAATATATATAATTGGTACGGAACGACCTCTAAACCTTCCGAAGCGTAGCGTAGGTTAGGTAAAGGGGGGAGTAGAGTACCAATCAATTTGTAGTTAGAGTACTCTAGCTGTAAAAACCAGCTCGAAATCGTATACTCTAATTGGCGTATCCTTTACGGTAGGGCGCGCTAAATCTACTAGGCCCAATCCGTTACTACCTCAAAAAAAAAGCCGGCCGTAGGCAAACCTACCTTCCTACCTACCTTCCTACCTACCTACTAACCTATCTATCCCTATAGGCTACCTTACCTAAAATTCAGAAGAGAAGGACAAGAATCAAAGCATTAAAGAGAAGAGAAGAACCAAAGAGAAGAGAAGAACTGAAGAGAAGAGAAGAGAAGAGAAGAGAAGAGAAGAGAAGAGAAGAGAAGAGAAGGATAAGGATAAGGACGAGGATAGGATAGGATAGGACAGGACAGGACGAGGACGAGGACGAGGACGAGGACGAGGACGAGGACGAGGAGATAGAGATAGAGATAGAGGTAGAGGTAGATATACTATAGACATACGCACGCTGTACGCGCGCGAAAATTGAGATTAGTACCTCCCTGTACTACTAACGGGCAGGCCCGTAGGACATATTAGTACTACTAGGCGTAGAACCGAGCTAATTATATACTAGAGAAAGAGATAGACTTAGTATAGGTAATAATAGCAAAGATAGCGCGAATCGCTCTAAAATCGACGAAGAGAGTAGTAATATAGAGACCGAAGACGAGGGCTTGACTAGCTCTACTATATACTATAAGATCCCGAAACTACGTATCTAGCGCTTCGCCTCGGAGGTAGATACCTATTAGTATATTAACGTATATAGAAAGCATATAGCTTTAGCTAGACGAAGAATAGTAGTAGAAAATACAACAATAGTAAGCCGCTAGAGGTATAGAAGTATATGTGTAAGTACTTTAGTAACTAAAGGCGATAGAAAGAACAAGTTAATCCTCTACCGTAAGCTATTAAAAAGGAAGTATTTCAGAAGTCGGACTACTAAGCTATAATTACTGTCTATATACTTAATAAGGATAGTCTAGAGACGGAGTAGACCTTCTCGCTTAGTAGATATCCAGACTAGCCTTCTTCCGCCGTTAAGAGCATAATAATAGATTTATTGCGTTTATTGTTAGCTATCGTAAGAATAGCGCGTCTCCCTAACTAGTATATACTATAATAAAGAATAAGTTTGTTACTAAGGCCGGCCTATTAGATATAGTAGCTATACTAATACTACGCGATATCTATAACAAGTTCGCGCGGATTCGGTATACTATAATTAACAAGCTTATACTAGTAGACAAGGCATTAGTAGAGCTCGTAGACAATAGCTTCTTCTTAGCTTATAAATTTAATTGCGACGGCAGTAGTAATAGACTACGCTACGTATTTTTTTATATACTCTTAACTTGTAAGTATCTATAAGAAAAATACGTATATACTGATTTTTAACTATACTTATAATATCTATTTATCTAGACTACTACTATCTTACTTCGACTTTGTTATATGCCTTAGTATTATACTACCTCTAGCTTATATACTTATACTAGACGAGATATTTAATAGATATAAATAGGCCTTAAAGATACTGTAACGTCTATTTAAGGAGTATAAGATTAACGAGCCAGATATTATTATTTATGATTGCGATAGAGCTACTATAAACGCGCTCGAGGCCGTCTTTCTATATATCTAGTCTGTACTCTATACTTAGTATATAGATACCGCTATCGAGGTATAGGTATATAAGTCATTTAGATAGTAGAAGAGTAGCGATAGTACGTATTATATTACTAGTAAGCTCGGTACCGAGTTTATTATACTCTATAAGGCGTATTGTAACGCTACTACCGAGGACGGATTCGATAAGGCCTATAACGTAATACTAAAGCGTATATAGCGCAACGAAGAGACTACGTTAGAGAGTAGCGCTAATAGCGAGGCGGTAGACGCAGACGATAAGGTAGACGAGATTATATAGCCTATCGAACTTAATAAGTACATATTAGACAATAGTAGTAGTAGTAAGAATAGGCTATAGCGGTAGCTTAAGATAGTACGCTACCTAGAGAAGTATTAGTAGGTATACAAAGAGAAGTATATTAAGGCGTAGATAAACCAACTCCGCTATTATAGCTATAATATGTCTTCTGCTAGTAAGGGCGCTTACGTAGGGCTTAAACGATAGATATAGAGCGCTTGTAACGATATACTTACCTTCTTTATAAAGCTAGGGCCGTTCTATAATAGCTATATTAATAGGTATAATACTACGCTGTTAGTTACGTAGAATAACTTATCTATATAGTTCGTTAATAAGATATTCTATTATAGTATTAACAATACTATTAGTATCTATACACTTTGGTATATAGATAAGTAAAAGGCTAAATTAGATATAGAGATCGAGTATATATAGAACGACCGTTACTATATCCGTAGTATATATTCTAGCGTCTTTATAATAATAATAGGTATAGCCTGCTCGTACGAACTTAACGGCGTAGAGGCAATAATACCTCGTACCTACGATATATTCTAGTATATTCTAGGTACGTTAGTAGACGAGCTAGTAATAAGAGTACTCGAGGCCGTAGTACGTTTCCGTAAGCGCTTAGTATAATAAGTATACTCGTATATAGCGAATACTAGTACTTCTACCTCTTAACGTAAACTAATCCTCGGAGAGAGACTTAATCCGAACAACTGCTATACGATACTGCTAGTAGTAGGAGGGCCTAATACTACTAGTATTAATGTAGCTAATAGTAGCGATATATAGCTTATATAGCGAAATAGCGAGCCTTAATAGCCGATTTAGTAGTAGTCTAGACGTTGTATTACTATACTACCTAGTTCGACTTAGTACAACTATAGTAAGGGCTATAAATACGGTAGGTACGCTTGTCTTACTACTAAATAAGTATCTAGTACTTAGTATAAATATAAGATACGCAGAGAGCTATATACTAATTAGTATAGTATATTAACCTAGCGACTAGCGATAGCGACGCTACGAGCGATACTAATAATACGACTAGTAGTAGCGACACCGATACCTAGCGCGCTAGCCGGGGTTACAAATAAGTAACTAGTATAGTTACTAATATATCCTACAGGCTAGCCCGTTGGTAGCACGGAACGTCGGCCAATCTTGCTAACGTAGAGGCTAATCTTTTTCCCTGCCCGCAGTTTATGCCCGCCGCGTATATTGTGTACCGTGCCCAAATATACGCTAACGTCGGAATTCTATAAATTCTATATACGCGACGCGTACACATACATATATTAATCCGAGTTAATTAGCACTATATACGTATAAATTTACGTATAGAATCGATAGCGATTCTCTAGGTTCTGATTAGCTAACCTATTTTAAGTATAGCCGACGACGATTAATAGATGTACGACGCGATCAACAAGATAGCCGTAGAGCCGACGCTAGAGCCAATCGATAATAATAGCGAATACGAGCAGTATTACACCGTACCCGAGTAGCTAAGTAACGCTTCTTCTCCGGTTGTTAGTTTACCGGCTTTTGCTTCTCCGGTTGCTAGTTCTTCGCGGCTACGTCGACCGAGCCTACGTCTTATAAAGCGACTACCTACAGTACTATAGCTCGATCCGTACGAGATACCTAATAATAAGGAAGAGGCAGAGACAGCGCCAAGTACGCCGAGTAGGGGTAGTAGTAGGCCTATACGGCCTAAGGTAGTAGCGCAACGACTAACCGCCTTAGGCATATACTATTCTGCGAGTCGAGAGGTATAAGATAACAGTACGTAGGCGGCGGCAGGATCTACTAAGCGACGGGCATTGTTATCGTACGTTAGTAGGATTAAGGAAACTCCTATAGGGGTAACGCGAAGTCTAGTATACGAGCGGTATATAGCAAAGGGTTTCGTGTGTCGTATGTATTCGGCGGCGGAGATAGAAGAGTAGGCAGGTAAGAAGGGCAGCAATACGTACGCGCGGTGTCGTTATTCGGGGAAGCAATATAAGTAGTTTATACCTATACTAGTAAGTTTATACCCGTACGCGTTGATGCCCGTATATTATTTGCTTAGTAAGAGTAAAAACTTTAGGTTTCGACGAGTCAAATTAGGAGCAGGCATTAGAAAGTTATATATTAGCAATTTTTATATAGTACAATTTTTAATTCTAAGTCGATTAGTACTATCTCCGTATTTATAGACACAATTGGGGGCATTTCTCTAGCCTCTTATTAGTCGATCTTATCAAAGCTTACTATTAGTAGTATCCTTATCGCTATCGTCCTATAACTGTATGTCCTAGGTAGGCGCTATAAAACTATTATCTTTACTACGCCGTCTGAACAACGCTAATAATAGTAGCCGTATACCTCCGCGCTCGTTGTCCTTATCGCCTTGCTCTTGCTATATATCCGTACCTAGGCCTCCGGCTATTATCAACTCGTCCTTATCGTCTCGCGTAGAGCGTCTACCTCTCCTGCCTAACCGAATAAAGTCATTCTTATTAAACTCTATCGAGTCCTTATTATTATATCCTTGCTCTTGCTATATATCCGTACCTAGGCCTCTAGCTATTATCAACTTATCCTTATCGTCTCGCGTAGGGCGTCTACCTCTCCTACCTAACCGAATAAAGTCATTCTCGTTGAATTCGAGCTCGTCTGTAAGATCCTTATTTATAATCTTATTAATAGAACCGAATTGTTCGCTTCTACGAGTCGTCTACCGTAAAGGCAGGTACGTGTCTTAAGTGTCCTTGTCGCTAGTATTCTCCGGCAGAATTCTTTAGTCTCTACGTCTTTCGATATCGGCTTCGCGGGCAATACCAGTAGTGCCTAGTAATATAGTAAAGAGCGAGAAATCGAATAGCTTCTTAAATATAATATACTCTGAAGAGTTTTTACCCTAGATACAGCTATATATCGGAGACTAGAAGCAAACTCTCGTACTATAATATTAACGACAGCCTTATTAAGGGTTATACCTTACGCCTTGTAGACTGTTATAGCAAAAGCAACGCGAATTAGAAATTGCTCTCTATAGTGCTCTTAGCCTCCGCGGTAGAATAGTCGCTTAGATCGAAAGATTGGAATAGTAACTTTATAGCCGAATTTATAAAGGAAAGGACTATTGTAATCTGCTCGCCGGATGCGTAGAATAATAGTATATAGCAACGTATCGCGCGGATATGTCGTACCTATTAGCTATTCAATATTATAAAGAAAGCTAGTAGTACTATTTACAAGACCGGATTCAGTCTATATATTAGTAAGGAGTATAATCTTATAACTAATAGCAACCTCAATCTTATCCTCGAGTTAGCCGTACTTATCTATAGAAGCGCGGCTGCTAATAGTTTTATTATTATGCTTAGCCTTAAGCCTAACAACTAGATTGTTAGTCTCGCGAAGGCGCTACTCGTTGTAATCTCGGACATCCTTATTTCTAAAGTAAATGTATATAGTATTATTAAAGGAACGGCGCTCTTTCGTACTTAAAGAAACAGCCGTACGAGCAGCTAGGGTATACCAATCCTCGTAACGGAGTGTATAATTTCTAAGTCCCTCTAAAGCAGCGCGGAATACTAGCTAACTATTGCCTTGTTAGCGTATCAATCGTATTAATTCGAGGGTTTAGTCGAACGCGAGGTATACCTAGTAACCGGATATCTCTATTAGCTTGTTGCCGGGTACAGAGAATAGCGGAATACTAGAAACTAGTAGTAATTAGAAGAAGTCGCTATAGAGAATAATGTTTATGTTATTGCCGAAGAAGGTACTACTAGGCCGAGCTTATAAGAGTCGTATCTCAATTATCTTCAATTGAGTTAACCCAATTATAGACTTTTCGTCAATTACTAGGTAATTGATATCGTTAAGCGCTGCTTAGACAGCTTGAAGTGTAAAGTTTGAAAAGTTTGTATAGAGTCTAGCTATTAATAGCGTGTACAGCTATACTAGTTAGTACCAATCGGAGGACTAGGGCTCTACGCTACGCTCGTGTCGCAAGAACCTATAAATAGGCTAAAATGAGTTTGATAATATAGGACTTGCCTATACTAGTACGTCTATCAACATTCAAGAGAAGCTGCCCTAGGTTTTTGCTAGTAAGAGTATCCTTATAATAACGGATAACAACGTCGTAGAGCAGGCGTTACTCTAGATTAAGGAGGTCTTTCTACCCTATTGACTGCGAATCTATACGGAGTTCCGCTAGATTTGCAGCTATTTCCTCCTTCTAGTAGTTACGTTGTAGATAATAATAGAGATTAGGGAATTAAGTAGCGTATTTGCTAACAAAGGTAGACTAGTCTACGTTAATGTCAATCTAGCGATTGCCGAGAGCATTAGGATCGCTCTCCTGTCGGGCAACGTTGTTGAGCTTACCCTAGTATACTAGATTTTCATCCTCTTCAAGAACGCGTTCCTTAAAGTCCTCGGCGTCAATTCGTACTTACACTTTACGTAACGGCTTCTAAAGAGGCGCTAGGCATATGTCTAGATAGGTATAGTTACGGCGATACTAGCGGTAGGTATTAGAGTATCGATCAAAGGCATACTATCTATCCTGTACATTACGAAGTGTTATTAGTAGAGCCGGATAAATACGCTATAGGCCCTCTAGTAGAAGAATCCAAGTACGACAATAATCCTCGTATATAGAATCAGCCGGATCGTTCTTATACTTAGGGAAGTAACTCAAGAGCCGTAGTATACCCCTTAATAGTGCCTTTATTACAGGACCCGTTAAATTACACTCTGTAAGAGCTAGAAAGTAAGTGAATTCTTCGTAATAAGGAGGCCGCTTAAGGTACTTCGTCTAGTATAATTTACCCTTACGGTAATCCTCTTACGGAGGGGCTTCTTCGTCGTCGTTAAGAGCTATAATACGGCCTTGGTTAGAGGGAAGGCGGTAGTCTACCGATAAGACAATACGAGTGCCCTTTTGTAGATAAAGGCCTAGTAGCAAATAGTATACCTCCTAGGCGCCCTAATTACGGCTACTAACTATCTTATTTATTGCCTTAGCTATAAGCTGAATAATCGGTTAGTTAGTCGAGGAAACTATCGGAATTAGTATCTTCAATGTCTCCTTAAACGAGAAGGAGGCAACCTTAGCCTTAGTATAGTATTTGCCTAAGTATTCAATAGTAGCCTAAAGGTCTATATATAGAGATATATCTGTGTTAGCGCGCTAGGCTAGAGAAATCAATAGATTGTAGTAATTTAGTATAGTTTAGTTACTCTAGGCGCAGAATATCCAGTACGTAGGGTTACGCTTTTTACTAGTTTCCGCAGATAGTTGTAACTTACGCAGAAAGTAGAATCGATAGAAGGTAGTAGGGTTATTAGCTCTCTGGTTTTTCTTGCGACGTTAGTAGTAGTCCGAGCATTTATAGCGCTATATACGGTTGATTATATTAGAGAGGTCTCTTAAACTGTTAGTAAGTTAAGAACCTCCTAGGCTAATAGCTCCTCTATCTGCTTCTACGGCAGTTCTACGTAGCTTAGGATTAAGAGCAAAGAGATGTCGGCGCTAGATGTCCGTAAAATTGGTACGCTTATGTTCGCTGTCTATATTGAATAATCCGAGTATATATAACTATACAAACCTATAGGCGTAAATACTACTGCGGCCCTAGAATTCAAACCGATACTAGTAGTCTTGAATATAGAACTTAGGCTTAATTACTATATTAATTAAGCAATCCAATCGTCGCTAGAAGTAGGTAGTAGCGATATATAGATTGTCGCAGAGCGCAGCCCGAGAGAGTTTGATTCGACTCTAAGAATCGCCGGCCTTCTACCGAGTATAGAAACTGCTATATTGATTAGGAGATATAAGTTTTATTAAGGAATCCTACTATAAATTAGCGGCGCTGAACGTAAAGAAGAAATCCGGGGTTCCTAGGAAGCGGCAATAGGCTTCTAAATTCCGCTTTATACTAGTATAGTACGTAGGGGTTCCTCGAAGGGACGATGCAGACCGTATAATAGTATTAAGCAAGCGTCGTACCTCTAGATTATTAGGTGCCTCAAATACAGCTCTAATATCTTCTAGTATTGTACTCCGGTAGTAAGGGTTAAGTTTAACAAAGAAGCGTAAAGAATTCTTAGTTTGCATCCGTATCTTAGTATTGAATACTATATATCGCTATCGTAGGTAACTAGCGAAGCGACTATCTTTATACTTAAGTAAGTAAAGTACGTACTCGCGATAGGTAATATTGCGGTCCCGGGATTGGTTTATCTCTATAAGGCCGTAGGGGTAAAGAGATAGAAAAGCAAGTAATAGTATTGCTTAAGATTTAATCTACTCGGATAGCGGACGTTCTTCTATATTAGGCCAAGTAAGTGCTAGTCGCTGTTAAGGCTATTGCCTACCGAGAGGGCGAGTACCTACCTGTCGACGCAGATTATATATATCGCGGTCTACGTCTAGAGCTAGTATAGCGCTACTATCGAACCTATTATTATCGCTATCGTCCGCTTTAGCAGAATTCGTAGGATTGGCCTCTAGTTAAGTCCGAGGACGTTGATTACTAACACTATCCCTACTAGGTCTATTATCTCGGTATTTGCTATTGTTAATATAATCAATAACATTACTATTATATAGCAGGTCTACTTAGGTATCAATCTGAATGTTTCGGTATCCTAGATAGTATACTTTTAGGAAGTAGAGCTACTTTAGAACAACCTCTTTGCGTACCGTAAATTCTTTGCTAAATTAGAGCTAGCGCGTATATCGATTAGTAATATCCTCGTTATTCGTATTACTTGGTTTCAATACTACGATATTAAGATCGGCTAGTATAAGTAGTAATTTGTTATAGACCTAAATAATATCTTTTAGGAACGAGACAACGTAGCCGCGATAACTCTACTACTGTCCGCGGATCTGAAAGCATTCTACTTAAATATGTATACGTACTATCAACATCTCTTCTACTATTGTCGGCTCGTTAAGGCTATAATCAATACGGCTAGGATCTATCTTATTAGTAGCGGATATAAGTAGAGGTATACCTTGCTTCTTATTCTTGTCGCCCTCGCGCGATTAACTGCGACAGACTTTGTATATATTAGTATATAGTACAGATTCGATCTTGAAGCTTTAGAGATCCTAGGCAAACTAGCGCTTATTATATAAGTAGTAGGTCGTTATAATATCCGAATCGAGAGCATCGTTGAAATTATCTAGTAGACTACCGTTAAACTCTAACAGTACTAGTTAATCAAGATCGCTATCGCTATCGGTAAATAGAGGTAGACTATTGCCTTCGTTAGTAAGCAAGCGTATAATACAGCTCTAATGCTGTCGCTCCTTCTAGCCGGGTCTAGAGGTAATTCTACGTTTACGACGTAGTACGGTCTAAGAGCTTTAAGTAGACTCGATCTTGTCGTCTAGCGTAACAAATACAAAACTGGAAGTACCGAATTCGTATAGTATCGACTCGTCGGCGGCGTCTAGTATAGGTTTATTATCTAAGGTCCGAGATAATAGTATATATAGCTCTGTCCGAGTTAATATAGGCGAAAGTATTTAGCGACGCCGAAGGAATTTACGATAACTACGGGTAGCCGAAGACGTCGTCTAAATTCCGAATTAGTTAGCAATTGACCTATGTTGCTAACGAAATCGAGGGTTATTTATATTACCTAGAAGCGATAGCGACGATTCAATATTATCTAGCGGAGTATCGGTAAATATAGTAGAGCTTGATATAGTACCGATTAGTATAGCTGTCTCGGCGCGGAGGCTAGATACGGACGTAATAGGTATAGGTATTAGTATAGGGCTCGGTACGACTATTATTGTAGGTAGGTTTAGGTTCGGGTTTAGTACCGATCGTTCAAATCGGGTACTAAGACCGAATCGACTTGTAATTGATTAATATTAAGTATCGAATCGAGGATCGTTCGTATAGGTAGGTAATAATAATTTATCGTTCGTATTAGTAGGTAGTCTACTATATATAGGTATAGCGGCAGGCGAGGCGTACGGTACGAGTAGCTAGAATCGGCTACTAATACCGAATTAGCTCGTAATTGCTTAGTACTATATCGTAAATCGAGGATCGTTAATGTTTGTCGGAAGCGCTAACGACGACGAAGAGGCGGTTAGTACTAGTGCTAGTACTATAGTAGTACGTAAGGTAATCTTCGTCTTCTTTGTAGAGGGTATATACTAAGTAGGAGGTATACTAGGCGCTATCTGTCGATAATCGGCGTAGGTAGTAACAGGCTTGCGGTATCCGGCGCGTTTGTCTACGAAATAATTCTTCGCTCGCTAGTAGCCGCGGGCATACCTCTTTATGTCTAGATAGTCGTCGTCGTAGTTAGATTCGAATTCCTTATCTAGATCAAATTGATTAGGTCGATCTAATAGGAGAGTACGCTTGAATAGTCGTTTGTTTAGTAGTTCGTCGTCGCCGCCGGCGCCGGCTACACTGCTCTAAATAGTAGCTATTAACTAGATTGGCAGGTATAGATATAGTAAGATAGGGGAAGTACAGTAGGTTTAGGGTAGGTACGAAGGTAGGTATAGAGTAAGTGCAGGGGGTATAGGGTAGGTGCAGTAGAATAGTAGTAGGTGCTTCATAGTGCTTAATTCGGCATATAGTTCGGTACGTCGGTACGGTCTGTAGTACGGTATATATAGTATAGTTCTGCGAGGTAGTTAGCGTTATTAAGTTTTTACAAACGTAGGTTTGCTAAACACTTTATTAGAAGGTATATAGTTTGTTAAGCGAGTAACTTCTTTGATAGCGTCGTTCGGTAGTAGCGTAAATGTCTTAGTGTCGTACGGCGGCGGTAGTAAGCTCGTCGTTGCTGTCGTCGGTTTGATTCGGCGTATAGTCGATAATTCGGTTGATTTTGGCGTAGGGTTCTATAGTTCAGTTAGGTATATCGATTCGGCGTACAATTGTCTTAATTTCGGCGTAGGGTTCTGCAATTCAATACTAATTGTCGATTCGGCTAGAATTAGTCTTGATTTCGGCGTAGGGTTCTGTAATTTAGTTTAGCGTATCGATCCGCCGTGTCTACGAGTTAGTTAGCGGTGTCTACGGTATAGAGGTAGTATTAAGTATTTAAGAACATAGGTTTGGTTCGGAGTTTTTTAGAAGGTATATAACCTAGTACATACGTAACTTTTTCGACGGCGTCGTACGGCGGCAGCGGCGTAAATATCTCTTCGGCGTATCGGCGGTAAGGCTCGTCGTCGCTGTCGTCGCTATCGTCGCTGTCGTCGCTATCGTTGCTTACTGTCGTAGACGCCGTACGTTCGGTCTTATAGTAGGCGTTCGGTTCGACGGCGTGTCGGCGGCGGCGGCGTATCGTCGGTAACGTAATTTCTTCGACGGCGTATCGGCGGTAGACGTCCGTAGCAGCAGTATACTATATCGTCGTCGTCGTAGTAGTAGGTATCGGTACTGTCGGTAGTATAATATCGGTATAGACGGAAGGAAGTTTAGAAGTAGAAGTAGAAAGTTCAAGTCTGCTTACGTTATCGTAATACATTATACTAGAGGAAAATTTTTCCGGCTCCGAAAGCCGCGCTCCGCGCGCCTACCTTACTACGTCGTACTATAATATATAGCGCTACGCGCTGCGCATATGCGTACGCGACGTATATAACGCGACGTACGTAACGCAACGTATACTACGCGCGTTGCGCGCGCGTTTGATGCCTCCGGCGGGTATAGTAGTCCTTCGCTTCGCTACGGAACTGCGCGGAGGTGCCTCTCGCGGCTACTGCGTAGACCTTTTTTTTTGGCGCCTACGGCGGGCTTTTTGAGATAGTAACGTATTCGGTTTAGCGTGCTCTACTACAAAGGATACGCCAATTAGAGCGTACGCCTTCGAGGGATTTTTACAGCTATATATACTATTCCCAATTTGATTAGCCTCTACTCCCCTCCTACGCCTAACCTACGCTACGCTTCGGAAGGCTAGGGAGGTCGTTCCGTACTAATAAGAGTAAACTACTATATTAGTATAGATCGCTATACTCGCTAACGGCTATATTATACTACCGCCCCCCCCCCCCTCCCTATAAGAAGCGCTAGATAGTATATAGTAGTAGATAACAAGTTTGAGGAAGATAATAAGTTCGAGGAAGATAATAAAGACAATAGTAATATAGATATAGACGATAAGTTTGTATAACTAGCGCGTACCTACCGTTGTATTAGACAGCTACGATTTAGGCTATAGAAGAGGAGGACAGGCTGATAGGATATCTCTAGCTCGTAAGTAGCTACTAGTAAAAGCAGCTACAATACCCCTAAAACAGAGAGTAGTTTATAACTTTTGCAAGGGGTTCTAGTATAGAGGTAGCTGTTTAGAGAGGCGTTTATTTAACTATAGAGAATATAACAACGTAATATACGTTTCTCGTTAGATTCGATACTATTATTCGTATTATCGGTCTAATACCCTACTACTATATTTTTATTACTGCTTAGTATATAGCTATACTAAATGTTGCTATTAAAGAAAACAGTATTTTATACTAAGATAGAATTTGAGATATACGTTGAAGCCTTAGGCCTTAAGCTTAGCCTTAGCGCAGGCCTCCCGCCGTTTATAGTTAGAGCTCCCGCCGTTTATCAAAACCCCTAAAAAGTAGAAATTTTAGAGAAAAGAATCGAGAAAATCTAGAAAAAGGTATCTTTTTTTTCTATATAACCCTAGGATACCCGGTAACTTTAAGAAAGCCTAGGCCCTAGGAAGGGTTTTTATATATAGCGGGAGCATAAATTTTATATAGCGGGAGGCATTTTAGGGTTAACCCTAAAGTTTAGGCCTTGGTGTTGTATAAAGAATTTTCATATACGCTAACAGCACTTCCTCTACAAAGTCGATAGAGCCGGCGCGCGGATTCAGGCTACTACTAGAGCGATAGACGCGACGACATTACGAGATGTACGCGAGATTGGCTAATAGAGAGACAGGGAGATGCTGTCGATTGTAGTAGGTAATATAGCCGAAGATAGCGGCAATCGCGTTTTCGGCTTAGAACTAGACGCGACGACGCGACGACGCGACGACACGACGACACGACGATACGACGAGATGTACGCGAGATTAGCTAATAGAGAGATAGAGAGATGCTGTCGATTGTCGTAGGTAATATAGCCGAAGATAGCGGCAATCGCGTCTTCGGCTTAGAACTGATTCAGCTACCTCCGATAGACTATAAGTGCCTAAGGGTATTAGGGTTAATCCTAAGAGGCCTCCCGCTATATAAAAAAAAGCCTCCCGCTATATATAAAAACCCCCTAGGAAGCCTAGAAAGGGAGGTAGAGAGTCTAGAGAGCCTAAGGGATAGAAGGAAGGAGAAAGGAGGATAGGTAAGACCTTAGCCCTAGTAGATTAGGTAAAACAAATAGGCTAATCGGAGCTTATTCTACTAAGGTAATATAGGAAGGTCAAAGTTATTAAAGTTATTAAATTTCAATTAAATTAAAGGAGGTCTATTAAAGCCTAATCAAAATTAAAGGTACTAATTATATAATCGATTGATCTTTAGGCCCTCTATAGGTTTGATTAACTAGGGACTACTCTAACTCTATTATATATTGTAAACCGTAAGGTCTAAGGCTAAGGGTACGTAATTACTTAATTGGTACGGAACGACCTCCGAACCTTCCGAAGCGTAGCGTAGGTTAGGTAAAGGGGGGAGTATAGGCCTACCAAATTGGGGATAGACTCTCTACCTAGAGAAATCGACTCGAAATCGTACGTTCTGATTTGCTGAATCTACGCGGTTTGATTGGCGCGATCCTTTAGGGTAGAGCGCGCTAAATCCACTAGACCTAATACAGTACTACCTTAAAAAAAAAGCCCGCCGCAGGCAGGCAGACTGCCTACCTACCTACCTATCTGTCCCTATAGGCTACCTTGCCTAAAATTTACTAAAGAAGAACAAAGAGAAGAAAGGACAAGGAGAAGGAGAAGGAGAAGGAGAAGGAGAAGGAGAAGGAGAAGGAGAAGGAGACGGAGAAGGAGGAAGAAGAAGAAGAGTAGGAAGAAGAGACAGAGAGAAGAGACAAGAGACCTACGCGCGCGCGTACGCGCGCGCCGACACCGTGCTACTAACGGGCAGGCCCGTAGGACATATTAACTTAGAATAGGGTCTACAACTAGATAGAAATAGGGTCTATCTATAGCCCTACTAAGAAATTGACACGAAATCGTACAGTTTAATTAGTACGGAACGACCTCCGAGCCTTCCGAAGCGTAGCGTAGGTTAGGTAAAGGAGGGAGTACAGGCCTATCAAATTAGGAATAGTGTATATAGGTATGAAAATCCCCCGAAGGCGTACGCTCTAATTGGCGCGATCTTTTAGGGTAGGGCGCGCTAAAAATCCACTAGACCTAATACGTTACTACCTCAAAAAACTGCCTGCCTACCTACCTCTCTGTCCCTATAGGCTACCTTGCCTAAAATTCAGCAAAGAAGAACAAAGAGAAGAACAAAGAGAAGAACAGAGAGAAGAACAAGGAGAAGAACAAAGAGAAGAACAAAGAGAAGAACAAGGAGAAGAACAAAGAGAAGAACAAGGACAAGGACAAGGAGAAGGAGACAAAGAAGGAGAAGGACAAGGACAAGGAGAAGGAGGAAGAGGAAGCATACGCGCGCAGGCGCGCGCGCATATAGGTATATAGAAAATTGGCCGACACCGTACTACTACAGGCAGGCCCGTAGGACATATTTAGCGCAATTTCTAGAGGTAGAGCATACTAAATCTACTAGACCTAATACGTTTTGGAAAAAGCCCGCTATAGGTACCTACCTACCTATATGTCCTTATAGGCTACCTTGCCTAAAATTTGGAAGAGAAGAAGTAAAGAACAAGAAGAAGAGAAACAAAAGGAGAAGGTAGAGGTAGAGGTAGAGATAGAGATAGAGATAGCGATAGAGATAGAGATGTCTAGGAAGAATAGAGATACCTAGGAAGAAGAAGTATAGAAGGAAGGAGAGACAGCCTAAGAAGAAGAGATAGACTAAGAAGGAGAGACAGCCCGAGATAAAGAGATAGCCTAAGAAGGAGAGATAGCCTAAGAAGAAGAGACAGCCTATATTTGATGTTTTGAACTATATACTATAACTATGTTACCTAATAACATACTACCTATATTATCTAGTTTAATAGCCCGAGAAGAAGAGAAAGCCTAAGAGAAAGAAGACGCCTAAGAAGAAGACGCCTAGGATATATACGTATATATACGTACGAATATACTAGGTAAGCCGATATTCTGTACTATTAATAGGTAGGCCTATAGGATATATTACTTATAGATTAAGGTATCCTATTTACTTCTAAGTTCTAGAGTACGTTCTACTACTACCTAGGGGTATAAAGTGGCCTAAGTATAATATTTTACCCTTAAATAGATAGACAAACAGAACGATAGAACTGGATAATAGAGTAACAGCTCTATATATACTATAACTATAAGTAGGATAACTAGGTAAGACTACTTAATAATATATCCTATAGGCCTGCCCGTTAGTAGTATAGAATGTATACTAATCTTAAACTTTTATAGTACTAGTACTCTCTAGTTAGTAGTAAGGGTAGCAATCTATACTAATATAGTAGCTTATTGCTATAGTAGCTACGCAAACTACTTATCTATAACTACTAGCTTAGCTCTTAGTATTAGTATTAATCGTAGGAGCAGTATCAATTGTAGTATCGCTATAGCTAGCCGCTAAGTAGTAGTACTTCCGTATATATTAGTATATAGCTCTCTACCTACCTTATACTTGCAACGTATACTATTTACCTATAATATAGCGAAATACGTATACCTACTATAAGAATAGCCCTTTACGTAATTATATCTAATAGTCCCTTTTACTACTACTACGCGCCGGCTATACTATTGCTAAACTAGCCGCTAGGCCTCGCTCGTCCTCGCTAGGTAGCGTTGCGTTATGTCGATTTGGATCGAGCTGCTTAGGAAGAGTAGGTAGCCGCTAAAATATAAAGGCGCCTATATTAGTAGCATACGAGCGTATTTAATAAGCGCTACGTTTGCTTATATAAGGCGGCGGCTTAAGAAGTCTATATGCTTCTCCTATTGCCGTCGCTATCGCCGTTATAGTTATTACTATTACTAACTTGGTATATAGAATATACTAGAACTCTCTAAATCGCAATAGCGTTAGGTAAGTAATACTATTAAGTTGTATAGGTAAGCTATATCTATAGTCTTTATAAATACGCTAGTATATATACTATATATTAGGTTAGTAGCAATCTTCTCTTACCCTTTGTTATACTTCTACTTCTATATCGCTATAGCCTTAAGCCCTCGAACGTCGATTATAGTTTTTATAGTATAGTAGAATAGCCGGTTTACGAATTATATAGAGAAGGTATTCTATACTATAGATAGTAGATATACATAACAGTTAATATAACTGTTGTAGAATAGTACTATCTATAGAATTAGAGTAAGTATATTATTCCAAGCGCTTGCTATCTATTTCTTAAGACCTATATATATACCTTTACCTACTAAGGATACGTCGTAGCCAAGATAGGGTATCTTATTAGTCTAGGCTTTAACGTACTTCTCTTTATATACCTACTAGTACCTCTCGAGATAGTGTATTATCTTAAGCTAGCGTATTGACGTATCTTTCTAATTATAGCTACTACGCTTGTTAATAGCAACTAGCTATATAATGTTGTCTACCTCGTCGTCCTATATAGCCTCGGGTATCTTGTTTTTGCTATCGCTAGCCTCGTTATAGGTAGCGCCCGTAAGTATAGCTACGTATATAGCTATTATCGAAGAGCTGCTCGGATCTAGCGAAGCGCAATATAGCGTATACTATCTTCGCTCTTCTGCTACCTAAAGATCTTATAGGCCTACGCCTTAACTATAGTATCTATATACTATATATATAGTGTAAACTCTATCTCTAGCAATATAGCCTCTAACGTAATCAAAGCCGTACGGTCGCAATTATAGATAATAACATCCGGCTCGTCGATACTATATACCTCGAGAAGACGCTAGAATATGCGGAACACCTACTTATACCCTTTAAACGTCTTATTAGGTATAAGGATATATACTAATAGTATAACGACGCCGAGTCTAGTAACTACGTTAAAGCAGAGTAGTAGAAGCCCGCTAGTATAGATCTTGTATATATAATCGAAATCTTACTGTATAGTTGTTATCCTTAAAGAACGCGATAAGTTGTTGGTAACTGCTTTGTAGAAGAAGTTATTAAGCAGTTACTAGCAATAAGTAGTTCTAGTATCCTATCTACTAGTATTAGGCTAATAATTATATTACTACGGATCTGCGCAAACTCGTTATAAGTATCTCGAAGTATAGGTCTAGCGGTAATTCTAGTTAGGTCAGCCTTAGTAATAAACTAAGCCTTCGCTAGTATATATATAACTATAGGTAATACTCTATTTGTATAATAGTTAGCTAGATACTTATAAAACTCGTTACTACGTACTTCTCGTCGGTAGTAAGGCAGGCCGGCCGTAGCTATACTCTTATAGTCATACTTAATATACTTACTAAAACTAATCCTTATCTAATATACTAATAATCACTATAATACAACAGTTCTGCTTAGCTATCCTCTTACCTAGCTTCTTTAATAGCCTACTAAGACGATTCTTAATCAATTTATTTATATAGTTACCTCTCGCGTACTTAGGAGGGCGTTTCTAGATAGTCTTAGTATTCTTCTTCTTTATACAACTATTCTTTTACTATAATATACTGTAGCGATGGCTAGAAGCCTTAAGATAATTAGCGACTATAGACTCTAATACAAATAGCTCGAGTTTATATAAGGGCTTCGGAATCGAAAAGCGTTAGTAATAGCTTCGTCTATCTCGGTTTTAGCTATACTTTCGGCTCTACTACTATTGTTGTCGGAATTAGAGCGATTGCCGCTATCTTCGTCTTTATTACCTATCTCTGCTCGCTAATTAGCTCGGGTTGGCCTCTAGTACTATAGGACTAGTCGCTACTAGATTAGCTAATAAATTACCTATAGCTAATATACTATCTTTGTTGAGGAGTATATTAATAGACTAATTGAGCTCGGCATTAGTCAATATAGCCTACGCGAGCGTCGGATTAAGTAACTCTATATTAAGATAGAGTAGTTTTGAACGTATCGAATACATATATAGGTAGGTAGAGGAACGTAGCCTTAGGCTTAGCAAGGCCCTCCCGCCTTTCAAAATTTATGCTCTTACCTTTTATAATATAGTAATAAAAGCGTACTAACTCTGTACAACCCGAGAAATAGATTAGAGCTTACAACTTTTCAGTTAATATAGTTAGTATATTAGTAGAGACCTCGAATTTAGCTATTAGCCTTAGAGAGCTTAGGCAACCTAATTAGGCTAGATAAATATAGAAGAGATCTTCTTTTTCTTTAGAAATAGTAGGTTACTATAGTCCTCTACCTTAGTAGGTTTATAGTACCGAGCGACCGCCGAGTTGACCGATAGTCTAGACCTATCTATTATAGGGCCTCTAAGGTAAACATATAGGTTATTGATACCCTAAAAAGACGGGAGCCGTCCAAGAATAGTTGATAATATTCTAGAATAGCTCGGAACGAAAAGAAGAGGATTGATGTGCTTTTTAATAGTTTTATAGAGCCGGTTATTAATCGTAATAGTAGCTGCCTATTCTTACTCTTTAACTGTAAGACTAACCTACTCTAGTATTAAATACTTCAAGTTAATAGTATCGATAGCTTACTAGTATTCTTTTAGGACCTAGAATAGGTTTAGAAAAAGATAGGCTAGAATACCCTAGAATAGGTTAGAACAGTTCCTTAAAGTAGTATCTAGAGCAAGTAGTATATATCTAGTAGGAAACTAGCCTTAAGACCCCTGATTATAGTATCTAGCTCGGTTTTACTATTAGAATAGTAGAATAGGTAAAGGTTTCAAAGGGTAGCTACGGCTTTATCTATATTAGCGGATTAGAGGCATAGAATCTATTTAATATACGGGTTCCTATTAGGAATAGATGTAGTAGCGATATTAAAGGTAGCGGAATAATATAGAGGTAGTAAATATAGTATAAGTTAGCCGATCTTATTCTATAGTAGTCCGGAAGCGCCTAGTAACCCTAGAAAGAAATACTAGAAGAACTAGTAAAGGAAGTAGGCTACTTACTAAACTCTATAGCAGTAGTATATTAGTATTTAAAAAAGTAGGAAAAAACGTATAAGGACGCGCTTTTCCGAAAGTAATCTATTATATTCTATAGTTTATCTACTTACTATACTCTAAACAAAGAAAAAAAAATATCGGTAGCTTATACTCGAGGACGTACGCCTAAGAGAGGGGGCAATATTAGGATCTATACCGGATAGATATAGGTAAATACTAGAGAGACCTAGAATAGCCTAGAAGAAGCCGAGATAGGCTAAAACGGGCTACTAGGACTTAAGAAGATTTAGGAACAATATATACCGCCTAAAGAGAGCTATTATAAACGTCGGGCCAACAAATTTTAAACGTAGGGCTTAAGGTTTGCCTTAGGCAGGGTCTATCCTAAGGCCGCATTCCTGTTACTTATTTCTAAAGTAACTGTTCTAACAACATATACTTACTTATATCTATATACATATATCTATATACATAT